GAAAACTTTCACCCATGTATCATGTTTTATGGGATTCAGGGAATGTCTGTATGTTGTAGAGAGAGTAAAAACAAGCACAAAAACATTCCAAAACAAGGCAATAAACCCAACCATGCTCTGACTCATCATCCCCACAGGGTTTTACTCCCTCCATGATTGATCTCAAATCTAAAATACTTCATCACCTTTTTTATCCTGTCTAATAATTCATTAATCAATGCAGAGGGTCTTATATCTAAAATGAAAAAAAAATTGCACACATCTGCCAGTTCCTGCTCCCTGCATGAAACGGCATTAGCCTGAGGGACTTTTTTACTCGATGGCTGCTTAACTAACCGGATGTAACATACTCTGACTATAAACTATGAGTTATCAAGTAATGAAGTATACACTAATGTTGCCTTTTTTATTTTCCCTAGTTTATACTGGAGTTATTGGTGCTGAAATCTGGCTTAAGTATTTTTTATGTTTTGTGTCAATATTCTTTTTTATTTTTTTATTGAATTTTTTTTATTTTAGACAGACTTAAAAGTAGTTCAAAGCCAAATGTTTTCAACATATGTGTATAGTCTCATTTCAAATTTCTTTTTCCTCACATATTTTTCACTTGAGTCAACATGACCGGAGTTCTATAATGACAGCCAATGGTGGCAATCAGAGGTTATGTCAGAAAAAAAAACTTTCAATAACATACATCTAACAGACATGAGCCTAGGTTTAAAAAAAAACTCTGAACATTTGTCATGGGACCCTACACCTAACCTTGACGAATCTCAGGAACCATCAGAATTGAATTTAATAAAGCGGAATTCTGCTTTTCCACAGAAAAAGCTCACGTCTGATCAAAGAACCTGGACAGCTTGACCCCCAAAAAATGGTATATATACATCTACATTCATCTACAGCTGTGTGCATACCCATTCAAAATATACCCACCTCAGATAACACAGTGTACTTGACTTTTTTCAGGTATATTCCATAAACTGCACCGTCAACTTTTTCTTCCTTCCAGAAGCGAATGCCATCATCCTGGAACAACAAGGATAGACCTAAGTTTATCAATTATTTAACATTATACTAAAAGTAACTTCATTTATATTTTTGCACCTTACTATACAGTGTACACCCACCTTAAATATATTTGAGAAGGATAATAATGGATGATTCAACAATTTAACATACAACATGCACCAATGTATCTAAAAAACTAGTTTTACTAGTTTGTGGCTAGCTAGAATGGTCAATTTTGTTTTGGTCAAATGCATGCTATTATCATGATAATTCACTTTTACTAAAAAATACATAAATATTCTCTAAAATATAAAATTCCATTCATCTTTTTTAATTTTTTAATTTTTTAACATCATGCTAGAATAACATCTTTCAGAATAAAATGCATTAGGGGTAATTCATAATTGATCCCAAGTAGAAACAGTATCAAAGCCAATCTCTTTTCTCCATGTAAACAAGGCCTGGACTTGGCACCCAGCAGTTTACATGTAAATGCAATGGCTAAATATAGCTAGGGATCTTTATTAGATTATTGCTGAGATTAGCCTCATGGTTTATACATAAGGAAGAAAGCCCATCATCTAGTAAACAGAGAACATACATTAAAGCAAGAATTCTTGACTAAATAGATGCAGTGATGGATGCAGTAAATATACACTGCCCATGCCTCCTCTTTTGCAAAGCAACATAATTATGCCAAAGATCTTCTCATAAATATTTTAATATGAGGCATTTTGGAAAGAAAAAGATTGACAATACATTTGTTACATATGACCTTTTTTAAAAAACCTGCCGTATTTGTCACTGTCAAAATGTGACTAATGATTCTGTATGGATGGGTTACTTAAAAGTGAACTGAGATGAACATAACCTTTAATGTGTCATCAAAAATCCATCACCATGGCATGTATTTTAAATGAATACATAGGTTTGTTGTGGTGTTAAGTGTAACTGTCAGTCAAAGTACGTGTTAGATATACAACCTTCTTTATGTTGATAAAAGAAGGAAGTACTTATATTAAATAGGACATCAGGTTCAAGTTATGGTAGTTTTTTTAGCAATGACCAATATGCTACCTCCTGCTTTACCTTGCAAAAAATTGTTTCAACATACAAACTGTCAACTCTATTTCAATTTTTTTTTATTTCACAAAAACCTGTTTATAAACATTTCCTGTTATATAAAATGACTGAAAGTATATTCAAAACAAGCCTGATGTAAACAAAAAATGACCCAGATCCTAGATCAAATTTTGCATCACAGAGAACCAAATAGGTTTAAGTTACACTACTGATTATAAGAAGAACCCACCCCACCCCCATATATATTTACCCAACAGACAACAAAATATGTTGACAATTATATATATATATATACAAGAAAAAATAAGTCCCAGAAGTTCATTAAATATAAAAAAGGTACTGGTGTCATAGTTCAACAGTACAACCATCCTTCCTTGCCTTGAAGCTAACATCATATAATATTTAGGACTGTGATTATCATGTTTAAAAACCACAAGCCCTATTTTTCAATATAACCTAAAGGAGCACTTACTAGTAAACAAAAAACTTGGCATGTTATCAAACACTCACACACACCCTAAATACACACAAAAAAAAACTGTAACAACATCAGCTATTCAAAACAATAATACTGGACGACAAAGGGTGTGAGCATTACTGTAACTGTCTGGACACAGATGTGAACACAGATAATGTTGAATCATAATCACAGTAATAGTTTTGAAAGCAGACCATACTTACTCACTATCAAGCAGTATCTTAAAATAAAGAATATTTTTAACCAACTGGTAACATTATAAGCATTATATGAAGAAAGTTTTCAAATTCAGGTATACAGAACAAATAGTGTCAACTCAGCACTGCTCTCTACTCTGTTCAAGGAAAGTTACCACGAGCCATAAATCAAATTAACTTTACTCAATTTCCCTATCATACTTCACCTTTATTAGTCCTAATTAAATTATCCCCTCATCAATCATGTGTCTTAATACAATCATGTCTTCTCACATTTCTTGTCTAGTTTTCTTTATTACCCCGGGTAGCAGCTTTATACGATAACACAAAAGAGACATCTCTGAGAATCTTTTGATTAACTTTTTTTTCTGCTTCAAATCATATTGGGCATTTTGAAGTTAGCATTATATGAAACTACGAAATAATTGTGATTCTTTTTTTATGTTTAATGTAAAATTTCTATGGGTAGTCTGTTCATTATATGCTTGAAGGATGTGTCTAGGTAATACTAACAAGTATACTTAGCATTACTATAATAAATGTTCTGCATGTACACGTACAAATTACTATCTTAAGACTATTCCACCAGAGTTTTACATAATGACACTGCATGAGACACTAAAGCCTCTTGACCAGCTGTCAAGGTTACATGACAATACTGTTAATACATAGCCACATAGTACAGACTAATTCATAATATTTAATCTAATGGCAAATTACTTCAGTGATTAAAGCCAGGGGATGCACAATACTGAAACACTGAATTTATAACTTTCTAAGTAAGTCCAAAAGACAGACATTTTATTATGACTATCTATTATCTAACATCCGCCATCACAGGTCAAGGCTTCTTTATCAGACTAAATAATTTTTGATCCAAATTTTCACATGGGGAAAAGCCATTTTATATGTACATGAGCAATTTAAATGCTTTACTACTCCTCAATTTTTTGAAAATGTTTAATGGTAGAGACTGTGCCTCACAAATAAGAGATAGACAGTGAAGGTATTAATTTTTAACAATACTTCAGTGATTGTGTACAACTAACCAAAGAAACAATGAAGATAATATAAGACAAAATAAGAAAATACATGAGTGCATTGAAAAACTTTCCTCCAATATTCTAACTGATAAACAAACAAATGCTGCTGCATCAGCATAGTTTATCATCGATGCGGTCATAGTCCAACAAAAGACAAGAGAATAACTCAGTTAACCACATTGAGCGATCACGAGCAACATTATCGTTGGCAGGATAAGCGTGCTCCACCACATTCATCGGAATGGATACAGCATTAGAGGCTAGCATCGGAAGCAAAGTTAATTAACGATCAGATAACTTACCGGAATTGTAATACTGGCAGTAGATTTCTCAGTTTTTTCTGCATGATCTGAGCTCATATCTATCGAGCGAGAATCTGTTACCGACTGTGCACGAAAGCCCTTTCTAGATTCGCCATAGCGCTTAATATTTTTTCCACAGAACTTCTCATGCCCCCTTTTCCTCACCCGGAAGCAGCCTCCTACTAATATCGCCAGTGGGTAGTTTGTGCTTTTACGACAATCACAACAACGCGCGACATCTGGCGAATAAGGTAGGTACTACTGTTAAATGCATTCACGTTCAAGTTTGTTATACAGGAAAGCCGAAAGAGGCACGGGCACAGAACTTCAGAAAGGGAAGTGTTGAAATTATAGGATCATCACTTTCACAAATACTTGATATTTCTTTTTTAATTTCTTTAATTATTTATTCATTTATTATAGAGTTTGAAGAGTGATGCAATGCCAGTAAAAATGTTAAGAAATTCGATGTTAGGCCTATAACTGCAAAAAAAAATATGGTTATACTGACGAAAAGCTCTGATTCCGGGAAAAAAATCAGTGTTGTCAGTGGACATCCATCAGTATCTAGCATAAACGTTTTCTGGATGTGTTAGGTGTGCTAGCTAGGAGCACTTGGGCGCAATTGAAATTTGTTCATCTGTGACATTTCAAGCAAGAGTATCATACATGGGGTTTTTGCACCAAATCCAATGTTCCTCGAGAAAAAAAGAAATCAAACAATTTATCCACAAATCGTTGCTCAACCCGTATCTGCACTTGGATTCATTTCTAATTATTCAATTTAAACGAATGTAATCTAAACGAATTATCTTTAAGCTTCAGCCGCATTGTCTGCGATGATATATTTCAGAAGGAAATACATGTAACCCCACATATATTTTGAGGGCATTTAACTACTTAAAAGTTGTTAATTTGGGAAGTATAAGTGGAATTGCAGGATATATATATATATATGACATTTACAGACTTATAGAGTATATATTTAATTTAGTTCCCAGCCACATGTAATTATTCATTCATTTAGACGCACAGAACCGAATGCCAATTGCTTCTATGTTTTATTTTAGAGTTTGTTGTAATATTTTCAAATTTTGTGACTATATTTGTCATCGGAAACGGCGTTTTTTGTCTCAAAGATAGGCCTACATGGGAACACTGAGCATGTTGTTTCCAGCACCAAGAAATGGCAGATTTCGGGGGAGGGGGGGTGTCGAATCTTCCTTGCTACAATGATTAAAGTGTCAACAAGAAGACCTAAACAATATCTTTTAGATGAAGGGCCATTCTTCCTTTCTATTTCTAATTTCCTTAGTTGCATCAAACATGCGCCAAAGTGCTCATTAAAGTTGAGGTGCGACCTCCCATTGAAATATTGAAAATGATCTCAAATATAATTGATTGCGTATAAAATGTTACAAATCACATTACATGTGTAATACATGCACCCAATAAACGAGTACATGAGCGTGGTGTAATACTATAGTTGCGACACTATAGCAGTGTGCTGGTCTATTCGTCTGTTCATAATGAATTTGCTTTCTCACCACCACAGTTTTGAAGGTCTTTCCAGACAGGAGCCATACTACTGAATATCCTTTCTAAATATGCTTACTTACCTCTATCAATATTTCTGTGATTCTTTTCAACTTCTTAAAAAGCGACAGCAATACATAGTAGGCTACAACCTGCGGTGTTGCCCCGCACAATAAACTAAAGCAATATTCAAAGTAATTAATATTCGTCTTTATCTGATCTTGTTCACTTGTTGTACATGCATTCCCTGCACCTTATACTATATAAAAAACAACCTCAAGGACATGTTGCGACCTCAGACGGCGTGCAGGTATGCTTTCGTGACAGACTTAAAGTCACTACGCGCAGTTTGAAACACGCGACCCCAGCTGACGGCTACATTACTTGACCGCATGTATATAGATTTATACTGTCTCAGAAGCCTCAAGATTGCTAAAACGGGATTGCATGTGATTTCACGAGCAGCAACTAGACCCGCATGGCCGGCAAAATGAGCGAGTGTCGAGAAAAAAATATGCAAGCAATTATGTTCTGGCAGAACCAATGGCGACTCATTCAATTATGATCGACAGAAGGGAACCTTTATAATGTATATACCCCAAAATATCTGCTCAAATATTATAAATGGCATTACAAAGGGTGAAATAACTAATAAAATCACAAACACTCGACTTTATTCTCTGCTCCTCTCCGCTACTGTACATGAACTGCGCTTGTCGCCGTCTGTTACCTGGTCTGGCCAACTCCAGCCGCCAGTGATAGGTGCAACCAGTGGCGGATTTAGAGGGGCGGTCGGGGGGGGGGGGGGGGTCTTGCCCCCCCCCCCCTTCGGTTTCTGAAAAAATAATCACTCAAATATTCCCCTCTTTGAATTAAAATTTCAACTAGCTGATTTATAGTACTAAACCGTGCCAAACGGCACCGTTCACCCTCTAAAATAAAATACCAAAATTTTTCGGGGCCCTTCAGCGGATCCCGAACCCCACGCCAACCGGGTGAGGGAGGGTCGGCTTCGCATACGCCCACCCCTTCAAATAATCCTGGATCCACCCCTGGGCGCAACCATCTATACTTAATTCCTGATAGCATTTCAATGTATTTCTGCACAATGGAGGTACAGTGAATGTAACTGTGTTTTGACTAGTATTAGCTGAAATTCAGGTATTACGCATCAGACCTTTATATATAAAAGAAATAAACTGATCGATGGAATAAAAATGATAATATAAAATTCTCAAGAAAATTACGGTCTTTAAAAGATAAGGATTCTTTCTTGAAGTAGCACAAAAATAAGTTTAGGAAAAAGAGAAAAAGGTCTGTAAAGTTAGATCTTTTTATTGTTATTATGCAAGCAATTTCACATTTAGTATCTATACTTGTGTAAACAAACAAACAAACAAGGGCAGTACAGCATTCCAACTTGACGATGTCTGCATGTAATACTGTATACATGACCATGAATACAAGCCGTTGAGAAAGAGCAAATTAAAACCATTACAATTGTTCGTTTCCCTAATAAAAAGTCGGGTAATTGGTAAATGTTTGGCAGATAGAATGGGCCGAATTATATTTCTTATACTCTGTGCGGTAAGCCAATGGTATATAAAGAGAGATGGAGATATTCATTTCCATAATAAGCCTTCATTAAAAGTTAAACTCCACTCAGGCCTCAGAGAAGATAGAGAGATGTTTAAAAATTAGAAGGTCTATATTAGCAGCATTGAAATAAATTGACTAAGCACCACATTACTTAACACTATAATCAAAATCAAATGCAATTGTTTCCCGGAAACGCCCGAGCGCGTTGCTGTATCCCAAAAAGCAGCTATCCTCGTCGGACCGCCAGAACCCCCCTTAATCTTGACAGGCAATGCCGTGATGCGCGCCCCTACCGCCGGGACTCGGTCTAGATAGGCCACCTGTTCAAATATATAAATTTGATGACCCAGAAGTCTACGATGAGTAAGGTATTCGACGCTAGGTTCTTTTTCTATAGAATTGGTGTCCACGCCAAAAGCGTATGTTTTGGGTCTATTGTCCAGAATCCATTGAGCGGCGTCTGGACTGACACTCGGGAATTTTAGCTGGTCTGTAGTGTTTCCTGAAAGAAACACCGTCTATGATTTTTCTCCAATAAATTCTTCAAAAAAACAATACATATGAAAATTTGAAAATCAATCCACTGATTGATTATAAAAAAGTAGCATGGGTAGTGGGCTATCCATATTTGTAGAAAAATGCAAAAACTAAGGTTCACTCAGCAAGCAAAGAATCTTAGAACAAAGTAAACTCATTAGTTAAATCATTTGAACCAATAAATTCAACTCGGGATTTACAATGTAGACATACGTGTCGCTGTACTATGACGTGTTATTCCCATGGTGGTTAAGTTATCAATAATGATTTACCAATTTTAATATAATATAATTAAAATTATAAAGCCAAGACACCTGCCTCCTAAAAACGCCGTCACATTTCCCCAGTACTTCGTCCATCCCGAATTCATCATAATGGCGGCCCTATCCGGTATCTCTCCGTGCGCCGCCTCCCAGGCCAGGAGATCAGACAACTCAAGCTGTGCTGACGGGTTGACGGAGGCTTTCTGTTTGATATCAATCACTACCACTGGAAGAAGAAAAAGATCAACGTCTACATACATACATACATACATACATACATGTATAGTTTCTAGCACTGCCGGCTCATTTGCTAATTGGGGGGGGGGGGGCAATTTTAATGCAATAAGCTCAGAGGTTATAGGGACTGTTTGTGTGGTTTTTGGAACTGAATTGACTACGAAGAAATTGCCTTTAAATTCATCTATGTCCCAAATTGTCTAGCCCTAACCAGTTATCTCCTATTTTTTCTGTATTTTTAAGTACCATGAACTATTGTAGCACACTGAATATTTTTGTATTTCTCAAAGTAATAAGATCTGCTGAAGTCTACCTGGACACCTGAAGTAAGCAACTCTAACACCCCATTTCCATAGATTTTAGATCGATCTATCCCTATGGGGAGTCTCACTAGATTA